AGTAAATATTAGTCATAGAGTACAGGATAAACCTCGAACAATGGAAACTCTCAGGAATCTAGAAGAGTGACCTTAGCTAAAACTCCTAGCAATGGGGCATATGGAAACCTAACTGTCCATCTCCTTTAGCCAGGCAAGACTTCCAGTGGAGGAATTGGGGCACCAACCCAGCCACAAAAACTTAGACCCACAATCTTTCCTGCATTCAAGATGGGCGGGGGTAAAGGCTGAGCAGAATTTGAGGCAATAGCCACCCAATGACTGGCCCAACTTGAGGCCCACGCCATGAGAGGAAGCCCACCCTGACACTGTTAATGATATTTTGCTGTATTTGCAAACAGGAGCCTACCCTAACTGTCATCAGAGAGGCTTCACCTCGAATTAATGAAAACAGATGCAGAAACCCACAGCCAAACATTAGGTGGAGCTTAGGGAATCCAGTGGAAGAGGGGGGGAAGCAGGACTGAAGGAGCCAGAGAGGTCAAGGGTACCACAGGAAAACCTACACAATCAGATAACCTGGGCCAATAGGGTCTCACAGGCACTGAACCACCAACCACAGAGCATGTATGAGATAGATCTAGGCCCCCTACATATATGTAACAGTTGCACAGAGTGGTCCTCATGTGAGTCTTCTGAAAGCAGGAGCAGGAGCTCTCTCTGACTCTGTTGCCTCCTTTGGGACTCTTTCCTCTTTCCTAGGTTGCCTCGTCTAGCTTTAACAGAAGATGTGCCTAGTCTTTCTGAAAATTAATATTCCAAGTCTGGTTGATACCAATGGGAGGCCTCTGCTCTTTTGAGAGGAAGGGGTGAAGGGGTGAATAGGGTCAGGGGAGGTGAGAAGGAGTGACTGGGAGGAAAGAAGGGAGGGGAAGCTGCCTTTTGTTTTTTTAAAGATAGAGGTGACTTGTTTTATTTCTCACAGGATTCTATATGCAGTGGGCATTCAAGCAATGCTCTATACTGGTTTAATCCTACTTGTGATTGCCTTGTATTATAAAGTTCATTATGGTGTCTTAGATGTATTTATCCTTGGGGAAGTGTCTGATGTTATTACTATATCTAAAGATAGATAAAGAGACTGAAGCTTAGGCATCTCACTAGAGTTCCAGATCTGGATATTCAGTGTTTTGCTTTTTATTGCTTTCATGTACTTTGATGTTTCACAGCACAGATCATGTCTGTGTCTTACAGTAACTCACAGGAAACATGCAGTGGTCCTGTGCTTCATCCTTGCAGTTTCCACAGGATGTATTCTCCATTGACAAACACATGCTGAGAACTTCTACATAGGTAAAAAAGATGCAGGCACCTAAGCCAACATGTTCTGGCCACAGCAATTTGTTCAATGATGAAAGGGTGTCCTTCATGCCACTCACTCCTACTCTCTCTGTTTCTCTGTCTCTGTCTCTGTCTCTCTGTACCATGGGAAAATAATTCTTAGTCAATCTTGATAATATTAGAGCAAACTAAAATGGACTATGGAACAAGACAATAGCCAGAAGCTGTAAACAGCCCAGATGCCCCTCAGTTAAGGAATGGATACAGAAATTGTGGTACACATACACATTGGAATGTTTCTCAGCAATAAAAAACAAGAAAATCATGAAATTTTCAGGTAAATGGTAGGAACTGGAAAAGATCATCCTGAGGAAGTATCCCAGAAGCAGAAAAATACTCACTCATAAGTGGATATTAGACATATAATATAGGATAAACATACTAAAATCTGTACAACTAAATAAACTAATCAAGGAGGACTCTGGCTAAATAATCAAACCCCATACAGCAAGGTAAAGAGGATGAATATCAGAAAGAGGAGAAAATAGGGAGCAGTACAGGAGCCTGCCAAAGAGGGCCTCTGAAAGGCTCTACCCTGCAAGGTATCAAAGTAGATACTGAACTTATGGCCAACCTTTGGGCAGAGTGCAGAGAATTTCATGAAAGAAGTAGAATATAATAATGAGACCTTGATAGGACAGGAGCTCCACAAGAAGAGCAACAGATCCAAAATATCTGAGCACAGGGGTCTTTTCTGGGACTGATACTCCAACAAAGGATCATTGATGGCGATAACCTAGAACCCCTTCAGAGATGATGCTCATGGCAGTTCAGTGTCCAAGTGGGTTCCATAGTAATGGGAACAGGTGCTGTCTCTGACATGAACTGATCACTTCCCCCTGAGGGGGGAGCAGCCAGACCACAGAGGAAGACAGTGCACTACTCCTGATGAGACCTTATAGACTAGGATCAGAAGGAAGGAGAGGAAGACCTCCCCCATCAGTGGACTTGAGGAGGGGCATGGGTGGAGAAGAAGGGGGGGCTGAGAGGGGAGGAGGGAAGGAGCTACAGGGGGGATACAAAGTGAATAAACTATAATTAATAAAAATTAAAATTAAAATGGAAAGACAAAAAGATGAAACATAATTAAAGTGAAACTTAAAACAAACAAACAATTGTGTAGCTGAAATGATAGTAAGGGTATTGGTTTGTCTTTAAACACTTTCTTTTTAATTTTAACTGTGTGTGTGCGTGTAGGTTAGTTCATGTGTGTCCAGTGCGTGTGAAAGCCCAAAGAGGTTGCTGGATCTCCAGGAGCTGGAAAGTAGGTAGTTGTGAGTCAAGATGTTGATGTAAGAGCAGCATATACTCTACCATCGAAGTACCGCACTTCAAGCCCCTGGCATTACCTTAATCCTTATGAATACCAACTTTTTTATTTATAAATAAGCCCAGGAGCTAGATTCCATTATAATTTTGATTTCATAAATGAGGAAATCAAGGCACAGGGGAGTTGAGGACCTCGCTAACTCTCACACAGGTAACTAAAGGAACAGTAACTTAAACCCTGGTCTGACTGTAATATCTGTGCCCTTGACTACTTCAAAGAGGCCATACTCTGCCAACTTTCCACTTACTAATACATCATCTATTTGCAAATTTTTCCAAACTTTAATGATTATAGAATTGTACAAGTCAGCTTTGATACACCACAGGAGCTTAAACCAACTTCTTATTTGTGAGACTTGGCTAGACAATGTGAGTACAACTCTACAATAGCGTTGATGTTCAGATTAAGTGAAAACATGGAGTTATTTGCTCAAAAGGTATTGCAAATTTCAGAGTGGAGAATGCAGTGTTAAAGTAAACACAGGCTCTTCTAAACAGGGTGGAAAGACCTTATGTAAGTGCACAGTGTGTATCCCAATAAAGGGGGCTCTAGATCGAGGCCGTTCAATGTTGAGTAGCAGAGATTAAACTGAACTCTGATTTATGAATCTCAAAGCCTGCGGTCTGATAGTCTATAACATGGTTTTTCCACTAGCCAAGTGTCTACAAACATATTCTTGCTTCTGTAAGGAATTTGTTTTTATTTATTTATTTATCTATCTATTTATTTATTTTTATTAATTACACTTTATTCATTTTGTATCCCCCCATAAGCCCCTCCCTCTTCCCCTCCCGATCCTACCCTCCCTCCCCTTTCTGCATGCATACCACTCCCCAAGTCCACTGATAGGGGAGGTTCTCCTCTCCTTTCTGATCTTAGTCTATCAGTTCTCATCAAAAGTGGCTGCATTGTCCTCTACTGTGGCCTGGTAAGGCTGCTCCCCCCTTAGGGGGAGGTGATCAATGAGCAGGCCAATCAGATTATGTCAGAGGCAGTTCCTCTTCCCATTACTATGTAACCCACTTGGACACTGAACTGCCATGGGCTACATCTGTGCAGGGGTTCTAGGTTATCTCCACGAATAGTCCTTGCCTGATGGACAACTGATGGGCAGAGTGAATGGAATTTTATGTAAGAAGTGGGAAATAGTAAGAGCTGGAGGGGACGGGAACTCCACAAGGAGAGCAACAGAACAAGATAATTTGAACACAGGGAACTTCCCGGAGACTCATACTCCAACCGAGGAATTTGTTTTTTAAGTTATTAATGTAGTAATATTTTTTGACAAGTTTCAGTTAAACACAGCATCTACACTTGGCTCACTCAAATTTCTTTGTCCCAAAAGTTATATATAAGATCACAGGTCCACCATGTCTTCCTTTATTAGTCACATTATATGTCCTTAGGCAACATTAGAAAGAAATGCTGCAGCAAATATATTTAACTAAGTAAATTACAAATTTTTAGTTTTCAGACAAACCTAAAAATAAAACTATTGTTAAGGTATTGGACTTTTAAGCATTCCAACTGCTGCTTTATCTACCTGCCACACATAGCACCCAACTGATTCATATTTATGAAATTTAGTTAGCTCTGCATTTCTTCTGGGGTTTAAAAAAATAAAACACATTTACTTTATTTCCTATTGCAAAATTTCATATCCCAGTTACTCCCATCCTCCTGGAAAACAAAGGCCTAAAGTACAGGTGTTTAAACTGAAGTGAGTTTTCTGAGTGCCGAACTCTGTCTGATGGGTTTATTACTTAGGTTTTCACATTTAAAAAACCATTATACCTCATGACAATACTTGATGATATGTGATACTGAAGTAATAAAATGTGAAAGTTTCATACAACAGAAGTCATGTTATGTGATTTTTATGTAACATCTGGGTTCTACTGCTCAATGTTTGATGATTTTAAAGGAAACAAAATAAAACTCCCCACAGAAACACTGAATAATTTTTCATATTCCGACTGTGCAAACAACCAGCAGATATGTTGTTGTGAATCACAACCTAGAAGCAGAAGCTGAATGCAAACTTTCCTCTCAGCATTTCTGTTTATGTGTTGAGCAAGTTATGCTATTTAGCTTTCATTTATGTCTGAACCGTAAGACACTGAAAGAGAACATTCCAGCAGGGCTCATGTGGCAAACTATCTCAAGTAAGTAAACCAGCACATCAATATGCTTAAATTATTTTCTAAATGATCTTTTTAAAGATGAACAGTGAAAAGAATTCTACCACTGGATAAGAAGTATTTCTACATTGGTGAAAGCAGATTCAGCTCTAAATGAATTGCGCATCACCCACACTGGCATTTACTACCTGCTCAGATATGCTCTCATGTTGGTATTGATACTCAGAAAAGGTGTCAGAGGTTGATGTCATTTCATCCTTTTCAAATTGTCTCTTCATCTTCGCTAAACCACCAGGCACCGTACACACTTCTGATTCTTCCATGACCTATGGTGATTTAAGAAGCCAGGTCAGCATTTTACCTGCATAGATGGTATGCTCGGGCTAATATTTTATTACAGTTGATAATATTGATGGGTGGAACACAAAAAAAGAGATATTACCACAAATGATTGCTATAGCCTTCCATTGAAACTAAACTGTTTAGGTGTTTTGCCATTTACCAGACTTTTCAGATAAATCTTCATGTCTAGATTAGATTGAATGTTGTATTCCTCTAATAATATACCAGATGAGAATAATGAAATCAATTGTAACTCAAAGTAAAGATGTCATCAAAATTTCGAACATCTGTATGGGCAACAGACATATTATCAAAAATAATTACTGAGATCATTTTTAGTAACACCAAATTTTATTTCAATTATTTTGGGTGAGTGAAATAAAGTGCCTTATGTAAAATTACTTCAAACTATCAATAGAAACAGCTGCTTCTGGTGGTACAGAGCTGGGAGAGTTTTGCATACAGTCATATAGATTCCATCAGTTCATGCTTCTTGGTATCCTGTGAGCCATGGACATCTATTATCTACATTTTAGTAGAAAGAACCTGAGATTTAGAGATGTGAAACATCTTATGTTCTTATATGAAGGCGTTGAATCTGTCTGTCTGAGTCTTAATCTGAATGACATCTGTCTGTCTCAATCACTAGCCTGAATGAATAGGCAGGAAAACAGTTATTCTTTACCAGAATGGGCACGTCTCAATTCTGTTTTGAGCACTGGCATGTCAGAAACAAGTGGCACGAATTAGGCGGTTTGAATAGAAGGGCATATTTTTAGAGAAGAAAACTGATCTCAGTACAAAGTTTGAGAAATAGCTTGCTAGGCACCAAGAAGTCTTGTCAGATCATAGGACGCACATGGAAGTGCAAAAGAGCCTGGGGCTTTGGTTTTGATGACTCAACAACTTCCTTATCCTGGCAGGAACTCAAGCCAAGATGGGAAGCCAAGTGACAAGCAAACTGACCCCATGCCAGCCATGGGAAGCTTCTAGTTCCACATGCCAGTGAGTGGAGATTCAGTGACATTTCAAACCACAGCAGGATTCCTGAGGTCTGGACCAGCACTGATATAAATAGCCCTGGGAGGATAGGACCATATAAGTCACAGGAGTCCTGACAGATAGGTTCACATCCTCTGGATACTCAGGGGCCTGGAATCTTTACCAAAAATATGGGGTTTCTTGAAAGGCTGTGAGAAATACATCTACCCTAGGATTTCTTACAAAAATACCAGAGTCGGAACTCATGCAGAGTTGTATGAATTCCTGTGAAACACTGAAGTGTTTGAATTACCATAACAACTTTTCTCTGCCTTCATGCTTTCTCAGGTATTTCAGAATGTAAATATTTGCTCAGTGAGAAGAAGATACAGTTGTATACCCTTTATGTATTCTGTATATACTCTGCAAAACTTTAAATGTAACCCCCAATTACTGATATTTGATATATGTTAAGGTCACTAGAAAGTTTGAGACCCCTTTATATTATAGGAATAAATGTAATTGTTATCAGTTTTTAAATAAAAACTATAAGCAATGCAAAATCATATGCAAAATTATATGTAATCCTCATTAATTATGTCAAAAACTGGATACTTTTCCAGTATCATTTATTCAAAGGAGTATCTCAAGCTGTACAGCTTACCTCTTACACTGAATACAGCTACCCCCAGCCCTTCCCCTTCCTTGACATCTACTTTGGGAGGAGATGCATTCCACATATACAGTTGCATGCAGCTGCTGGCTTTTCATAACTCTCTGCACAGTACTACCCCTGCTATTGTTGGGGCCACTATGATACACTGCAGCTGTTTGTCAAAGGGAGTCAGCTAGGTCTCCCAACGATGGATAAAAATGGTGCTAGGATTGCCTTGAACTAGTCTCATAGAGGAAGGGCTCCCCCAGTGAGATGGCAGATATGCAATTTGTGCCCATTGCTGGAGTGACACCTTCCCCCAGATTCATTCCAGTGGTCTCACTTTGTTGAGCTCCATGCTCTGAAAGCTCCAACTAGTCTGTGCTACTTTTAATGACCTCATAACTGAGACTGCTTTGTGTTAAATCTTTTATTTTTTTATTTTTTTTTATTTACTGGTATTCTGTTTCTCTCAGGTTTGGGCTTGGAAATAAGATCCAGAATCTAATGGGTATGTCGATAATAATGAGTTAATTTAAATGCTAAACACTTAAACGTAGGTAAACATGTTACACAGTCATCAATTTTGGATGTAAGTCCTAATCAATGACATAGAGTGTTTGCTTTTTGGGTGACAGGACTAAAGAGAAACAACATAATTTGGCAAGTTGGACAGATGGTGATTTTAATCCTAGTTCTGATAAAACCTGAGCTAAAGTCCCTGCAGCTTGTATTTTATACACTGGACAGAGCAATACTTCTTATTGCAGATTTATGGTGTGTGTTAAAAAGGATAAAGAGAAGGAGACTACACTGCATAATCTGGCTTTTGATTTGTTGCTCAGTACACAGTATCCCCTTCTCGTCTAGGGCTGTTTGAAGACTTGCTGTTACAGGGGCACACACGCGCCTAGAGCCGAGAGTGCCAGCTGGCAGTTAGCACAAGGGGAGACTGGCTGATCACTGTTGGCTGTTCAAGAATGTCTGAGACATATTGGAGTCTGTTGGGGAGGAATCTGTGACTTCTCGACTTTCCACTTGCGATGTTTGCATCAGCTGTGTGGGGAGACACAAGCATCCTAATTGGCCTAAGTGATAAAGCATTTGATACCGCTGACAAACAAGACCTGCATTTTACTTTCCTTATCTATATTTACTGAGATTTTTGTGAGCTTATAAATGCTCTTCTTTATTCTAGTATTTTCTTGAACATAGTATTTGAGAGAAATCGAGTGTGGTAGTCTGAGGGTTAAAATACTGTTGTATAAAAAGAGAATGTTAAATATAGTTCAAAGAGCATTGGCATCATAAGTCTAGGAATTTAACTTAGTAATTAAAGAACTTTTAGAAATAATTTTCACTAATTTTTTGGCCTAAAACTTGTTCAGAAATGAAAAGGATTATATTTCTTCATGTAGATGATTTTCACATAAGTCTCTATTTATTTATTGAATAGGATTCTTTGTCTGTGGTGTCCATTTTATTTATCTTATGCTAAAAGAATAAAGATTTAGTAAGGCATTAAGTAGCCTCCAGATACAACTTTCCACAGTCCATGGAAAGTTAATCAGAACCAACAGTAGCTCATTCTTCACATTTTATGAATCAGGGCAGAACTCTTTTCACCTTCAGTGAGATGTGACTTAAATCTTACAGGCAGCCTGGGCAGTTATACCTCATTGTAATCACTATGATAAAGATTATTGGACATATATGAAACAGAAGAGGTGATTCTGGTTCAAAGCACACTGTTTGAAAACAGCAATAAAACATCAAAATGATAGAAATATACCTTCTCTTACAACATTCTTGATGGGAATGGTTTTCAAGAAAAAAAAGTTGGTTTACCACTTCAAAAGAGAGTTTTCTTTTTTGTAAAGTCTAAGCTTTTTTTTTCCTTTAGAGCATTTTATATATCACCAATTTTGAGGTACGAAACCCCACAATAAACAGTAGTAAACCCAACACTGAGTGCGGCAAGGGAATGTTGGTATTCCTAACAACTAGACAGTGGGGATGGGGGTGGAATAAATGTAGAAGAGGCCAATAAATCGAAACATGTTAAGGCTAGAGCAAGATCACTCAGTGACTAACCAGACAACATCTTTTATAGGACTACTGTTGATTATTAGAGACTTGTTTGTCCTTTATTTACTTTTATTTATTTGCCACAAGTTATTCACTTTGTATCCCAGCTGTAGCCCCTCCTTCTTCCCCTCCCAATCCTGCCTTCCCTCCCTCTACTCCTCCCATGCCCCTCCCTATCAGAAACTTTTTGTCTTACAAATTGGCTGTGTACCATTCTTAGCATTTCCTTTTTTTAGGTACCTTAGAAACACAAATTATATCATGATACTAATCTGTTTTATGACATATTATCCAATTTATGGGAAAAGATCTTAGTCTTCCTAATGAAAACCATTGTTTACCAAATAGCAAATATTTAATGAGGCATTTTCTCAACTTAGAAAGTCTGATAGCTTGTGAATCAACATTGTTGTTGTTGTTGTTGTTACCAATAGTAGCTCATTCTTATTGTTGTTGTTCATTCTCATTATTATTGTTGTCGTTGCTGTTTGAGGATTTTCTACATTTTGATGTTGGCTGTTTCCCTAGTAATTTAGAACTACAAGTGCAGTGACGTTTTTTTTTTAAATCCCCAGCAGGGGGTGCTCACCAAGAAGTCTAGCAGAAAACAAAGTTGAGCTCATCCGCTTGCTTTGGAAGTCACACAGTCACTCATGTCACTTCTGTACACCCATTCTAAATCTATGCAGTATCTAAAATGTATTTTAATGACTATGTAAAAACTTAAATGTCATCTGCAATTGCAAGGCTGCTAATGAGTTTGGCATAGTCAGCCTTGTCTCTAAATAATTTGTAAATGTTGAGAAGCTATTTTTAAGTTACACCTTTGGGACCCTCTCTCCCTCCCTCTCTCTCTCTTTGTTACAAACACACACACAAATACACACACACACACACTACATGGCTAATTTGGGGATTATAATTATTAAAAAAAAAACTGTTCTTAAATTTCATTACACGGAAGGGCACAGAATATAGAATCTGACAAATTCTTTTGAACATCACTTATTATGGGTTATCTCTAAAATTGGTAGTCTTTCTGAATCTCAGAGTTTCCCATAAACATAATTGGTTTAGTAAAGTGCCCGCATTGATAATCTCTCTCATTTCTATGTTGATTAAGCTTCTCCTAATGGAGTTGATGCATAGCAAGAAAAAAAAATTACACTGCAAGAGAATTCAAATGAGTGGTACACAAGACCAGCACATAAGCCCACATTATTAAGATTTGAAATTAATCCTCAACCTTTCTGAGGAGAATAGCTATAGGTTAAGTGGTAACGATGACAATAATAACACGTTTATTTAGTGCCTCCTGGCTTCCACATAAGTTATCTCCTTGGTTCTTCCCCAAGATCCTATTAGCTAGATGATCATTCCCATTCCTCAGTGCAGGAAACCGAAGCTCAGGGACAGATCAAGAGAATACTTCCGGTTCATGCAACCATCAACCAGCACATCTGGGGCTTCAAGTCAGAAGGTCTGAATTAGATTCACGTACTTATTTATTTATTTATTTATTTATTTATTTATTTATTCATTTATTTATTTATTCATTTATTTATTTACCATTCATTCATTCATTCATTCATTCATTCATTCATTTTGGGGGGTCTTCTGTAGGAAATATCACAGCTAGTACTATTCTTGATTTTCAAAGAGGAATGGGCAGACAGTATGCATATTACATCATGCAAAATTCTCCAGACGTGCTTACATTAGCTGAGAAGCTGCGGGTGTCACCCCTGGACACAGCTGCCTGGTACCTTGCCATCCGCTCCTTCAGGGAGAGCGCCTCGAGGAGATCGGACTGGCCTTCACTTCCAGGTGTACTGGCTTCTCCGGACTTAGTAAGGTTGAAGGTGACTGAAAACAAAGGTAGCGTTTTCAGATAGGTGTCAGCTTGAGAAGAAAATGGCACCAACTAAGAACAGAAAGGGCTTCTACAGTGCTTGCTTTCCTAACCCGGACTGAAAAGTATCACAGCACATTCAAAGTTTCTCTGTCAATTTCTTTTTTCCAAGCTTCAGGGCAAAGATAGAAAATGCGCATGCAGGAGAATATCCTCATAAAACACCATTATTGCCCATCCCTCCTACTTCTGCAGTTAGTATGATGAGAAATGATAATTTAATAATAGATACATAATTTTAATAATTAATATTCTTCAAGCGCTGTACGTTGCATTTATGCTAAACACTGCATAAACATCTCATTGGCTTCTCTAACAACCCTGTGGGCAGATGCTATTTCTTAAAGTTTATATGGGTGAAAACAGAAAAACACAGTGGTTAAAACAACAACAAGAACAACAATAAAAAAGCTCCCCAGGATCACAAAATTTCTAAGGGGTAGGTTTGAATACAGTTGGAATATTAACAAGGACATCTTTGTTCTTTGAATCTTTCCTTGTGCTCAACCCTGAAGGAGGTATATGCAACTAAAACCAAAGGTTGCAGACTGTAGATTCTTTCCTTTTAATCGGACACAGAGTGTACATAAGAAAGAACAGTAATAACATTAGTAATGGCTTTGTCTGTCACCTGCAGCAGAAAGTTTGGTATTTTTCCCACTAAACCAGACAGAGAAGATTTTCACACCTGGAACTAACACAAAGGGATTGATTGCGAGGTTACAGAATGGTGGTATCCTGAGCCAAAAGAACCCCTGTGGCCAATCCAATACAAGCACAGCCTTAGACATCAGTCACCGTGTGCCCCAGTATCAGCTCTCAGTGAAAGGACTCTCATAGTTACATGACTCTCCACCATTAGGTAGCTCACATGTGCCCAAACTGGTCTCATAGCCAGGTTTTCTTGTTTAATGCAGTGCTTTTCAGCACCTACTTTGCTAGATGGTTTACCACACATTCTAAGAAGTATGTGTGTGCATGCACTCACACACATGTGGACACATGTGTGAATGTGATTGTGTGAGTACTTTTTCCAACTCTTAAGCATATGCACTCCAAGGTTGCCCTCCTTGGTGATTATAGCTTCTGAGACAAAGATGTGACTCTTTGGTGTATTTTATTATGTAGGTTGGTTTAATATAACCACTCTGGACCGAACTGTAAATCACTTCGAGTAATAATATGCCAACTCACTTCCTTCTTTCCTTATTCCTCCTCAGCCCTCAGCCTCCACAGTAAAACATCTTATTGGGTTGTTCACTTTTAATTTTTTTTGGTGTCTCAAGATTTATGTGCACAATGGCTCATAAGAACAGCTTCTGTGGCTCAAAAATAACTAGAACAGCTTGCACTTTAACTCCACGACTTGGTATTTGTGGCTTTTTGTTCAAGTAAATATTTTATATGTTTAATAAAAACATCTTATTTACCATGTTATAAAAATACAAACTATAAAGTATCAAGAAGTGTGACTCTATCACAGTGATGCATTCACAAAGGTCAACTATTTTGAAATTTAACTGCCATCCTAAACTTGTATCACATAAGAACTGCAATGTTTCTGAGAAAAAAAAGGATTCCCACAAATCCCCATAATTTTTTCACATGCTTAGGAGAAATCCTAATTTTTCTGCATGTATAATCCATATGCAGATAGGTTCTCTTATGTTCAAACACAGTGGTCCCTTTTCATCATGACAAAGAGCTCTATAGTTTCAAATAAAATATGACTCATTAAATGTTTTTTTCATAACAAATATAAATATCATTTTGCATAATAGTAAAAAATTTCATCCCTTCATGATTAATCTTAGCCTAACCTAACTTGTTTATTCTTGCTAAAATGTACAGATGCTGTTTTTAATATGAAGTACTCCATTGTTATCATATTTCCACTTCTGGGAAAATGTTCAAGGTTATTATTAAAGCACTCAGGGGTCTTTGGATTGTATTTACCAACAGCCTTTTAGGCAGTGAAGAAACTACTGTATTTTTTATGTGTTCTCCAAACTTTCTGTCCACTGCTCTTAAATGGACAGGGGGCATGGAGTAGAAAGACCATAGTTAGCAAACAGGAAACCAAGTTGCTTCTCAATCTTCTAAGTCCAGACCTGCTAAATTTCTCTTAAAGAAGCAAAATGATGTTTCCGTACCTTATTCTCCAAGTATGGCACCAGGTACTCTTAACATGGTGCTGATCACACTTGACACAGTATTTTGGTCTTGGCTAGACAAGGCTTTCCTTAGGGATGTATGGAAGAAGAGGGATAGTGAGCCACAGGACCTTATCATTCCCTGCTCCAAAATATGTGGGTGTAACTGAGTTTAGAGAACAGCACAAATAAATTTGAAATATTTTTTTAAAAGTAGAAGTAATAAAAGAACAAATAGACCTGTTTGTTGTCACATAGTATATGTGGAAAAGAAGAAAATGATGGAAGTGATTGCTGTGAATAAGACAAGATAACAAGCTAAAAGGTTGAAGTGTCCTATGAAGAAGAAAAACCCCCAAATATTTAGATGAGCTTTGTTAGGAAGCTTCATAAGTACTAACATCACAAAAAAAGTTTATTAGAAGTTTTCTGTCTGTGGACATTACAGAAAATTCATTATATAGATAAGTAAAGCCATACCCAAAGAAGGACAGTGGGTTCCCTGTAGTTTCAAAGCTAATGGCATCACTATGCTGAGAATCCATCACACTCTAAATACACCAAGTTTCCTTTATTGCTAATACCAATGTAATTGACAATTCATTAAAACATCAATTCTTTATGTGACATAATAAACCACATAAAAAAGAAACAACACAGAGAGCAAAACAATGAAGGAAAATTAAATATTAAAAAATACAATCTGTCATGAAGACAAGTTTCAAACACTGAAGACAAGAATGTCTTTCATTAAGTGTTCTATTTGTTTTAGCAAAAGATATAAATGATCATTTTTGTAATAGAATGCCTTCTACAATACAGAAAATTCAAGTTATTATGTTCACACACAAGCTTTTCTTCTACAACTTTTAGAAGCAAACAAACTCATTTGATATTTTTTTTTTCTGCAGGCCACAGAAATTCATTATACCTGTTGTCAGTTTTTCTTTCCATGGAGAGTTCATGTTTACAGCAGTTTTTAAGGTACATTGGTGCAATATTATGCTCAGAGAATTCTTGACCAATTATTCACATCGGCACAATCAATCAAAGAAGACTGTGTATTTACCAGTCTGTTTTTTTTTTTTTTTTTTTTGTCAGCGATACAATAATGAGTCTCAGTTGCTAGGCACTAAATATAATAAGGAACCATCAATGAGATTATTTCAACTTGGGGTTTTCTCCTATTTTCATGAGTCTGTTGTCAAAAGAAGAGAACATAGCAATATGTGGCAACACTCGTTAATAAATCCCAAAAGGTTCATTCATATATTTAATGTTAACTACTGTCACTTAGCTGCTCAGTCTCCAGTTTGAGATTAAACTGTCTACATATGTTGCATGTTAGAATAAAAATAAAAAGTGACAAGCATGTCTCACCAACAATTATCTTACAATATTAAATATTGCAAATTCAGTCCTAATACCTTTAAACAGTAGCAATGTGAAATATAGGCCAGCATCCTGATACATAAATCCAGGGTCTGTGTGTTACTTCAAAATGCTGCCAGCATCATAAAAATGTCCGCACATAAAATGCCCAATGTGGCAGGGTTCACAGGCACAAGTGCTCTGTCACTGTCTTACTTATAAAGCCAGATTTCATGTCAGCATGTTTTCTAAATGTAAATACTTCTTATTGCTTCCGAAATATGGGAGGCACATTCCCAAACTACAGCTCTGGAAAAAGTCTTACAAAACGGATGAGTGCATAATAAAATAATAGATTCTGTGAGATGAAATTCATGCATTAGACATTAGACACTCTAAAACTGGCTTATTTACATATAACTTGAATTTACGTGAATCATATCATTTTCCGTTTTACCTACCCAACATGGAATATGCAAAATTCTAAAATTCAAATGATCCAATAAAACCCATGCTTGCATAAAATCAATATTCACTAATACAAAAAGAATGTTGTGAAAAACAAAAAACCTGTAGTATGAAGTGGAAAATATTTGAACTTTTTATTTCATTGAGAAACTGCTAGCACTTGTGTGCGGCAGGAGGCTGGTATCAGCCAAACCAAATTCTCAGCAGAGATCAAGGTAAAATCAAAAGATGACAAAAACTTCAAGATTCAAAAACAAAAACAAAAACAAAACACCAGAAGAATGAAGGTAATATGGTAAGCCGTAGATTGGAAATGAGTGATATATTAGCAATAGCATGAAAGCAGATGAAAGACACAAGAAAAATCTGTCTTCTGATATCTTCTATTTCTTTCTTCAGAGATTGAAAGTTTTTTTCATACAAGTCTTTGACTTGCTTGGTTAGAGTCACATCAAGGTACTTTATGTCCTTTGTGGCTATTGTGAAGGGTGTCATTTCCCTAATTCCTTTCTCAGCCCTTTTGTCTTTTGTATACCAGGAGGGCTACTGATTTTTTTTTTTTTAGTTGATTTTGTATTCAGCCCTTGGCTAAAGGTGTTTATCAGCTATAGGAGTTCCCTGGCAGAATTTTTGGGGTCACTCATGTATACTGTCATATCATCTGCAAATACTGATACTTTGACTTCTTCCTTTCCGAGCTGAATCCCCTTGATCTCCTTTAATTGTCTTATTGCTCTAGCAAGGACTTCAAGTGCTATGTTAAAGAGGTATGGAGAAAGTGGGCAGCTTTGCCTCGTCCCTGATTTCAGTGGGATTGATTTAAGTTTCTTTCTGCTTAATGTTGGCTATAGGCTTGCTGTGTATTGCCTTTATTATGTTTATGTAAGTGCCTTGTATTCCTTATCTCTCCAGGACTTTAAAAATAAATAAATGTT